GTTTTTCAGCGCTATTTTCACTTATTTTTGTTATTTGACGCTATTTAGACGAATAGGCAAGTTTTCCGAAGCATAAAATTGAAGATTTCCCGCCAAAATAGAAACTTTCCGATAACATCGGAAATGACGTTCTAACATCATTTTAAAATATTCGATATCTAAAGCAGAAAGTGTTAGCTAAAAATAGACTTATTTATAGAACAATCCCCCATTTCTCACCTCAGGGAAAGTCATAAAACAGTTAGGTGCTAATGACTTTGTGAAAGGGAAAAAGTTCTACACTTAGAAACTTCGAAAGAAGGGATTTGAATTGTACTGTCCGCGGGCCGCATAAACATTGATAGGGGGCCGTATGTGGCCCGTGGGCCGCAGGTTGTGCACCCCTGTATAAAGTAAGATTAATATAAAATATTTTTACATACACATTGGTTTTAGTTGTGATACAAGTTCCTCTTTTGTCCATTCCTTTTTATCAGCACAGTAACTCAAACTTGGTGTAACAAGTAGTTTGTTATCATCACTATAGGGAACATTCAGATAATGTACTAGAACAACATCCGAGTTCTGTAATATTAATCAAATACATTTATCATCAAATAAACTTTCAGACGTAAAACAAAATAAATTTATTTCTAACCTGTAGTAACCAATAACATCGACGATGAAATGTTGGTAGAATGGCAGAATGAACATAACAACCATAAATACACTAAAAAATAATTTTTAATTTAGTCAATTTTTATTATAATTAATAAGAAATCCTAAATTTATAGTAAAAATAAAATAATTAAAATTATAATTCATTATAATGCTGCAAATTTTACAATAATAAGATGTGTCTTTATAAAATGTTTTCTTATAAATTGTTTTGATTAAATATGTGTATCAACTTTTAATTGAACATCTTGCTAAATCAGTGCTACACAAGTATTTGCAGTGTGTATAACTTATATTAAATAGCTAAAATACCAACTGGCATATAATATTTTTACTATTACTATTACAGGATTTCCTCTCTCTTTTTTCCTCATCATCATCTCCTGACTTTTCTAACATTTTCCTGCAAACTTTTACTACATTAATGTCAAACCAAAAAGTAACAGTTTCACATTACATGGAAAAAAATATCACATTATAAAATGTATCACTTTAATAGATATCTTAGTTGTTCGAATGCTATTTTGAATTATAATTAAAATCTCTTATTCTTGGTTTTTAGACTTAAGTGTAAATTTTTATGGAAAAAATTTTTTTTACATATACTATATTTAATACATACATAAGTTGGTTTTCTATTTTAAATAAATTATAAATTCATTATAAGATTGCCTGCATTACTTCAAAATTATTTATTTTACAAAGTTTACATAAAGACACATACACACAGTTCTATCTCAAATCTCACAGGGATGATAAAAGAAATTTAAAATAAACAGGTTTCTAAATATAGAGGTTTAGTAGAATTTATTCTTGTAATGATAAATGTGATTGGTGTTGTTCTGTGACTTGCAAAGTCAGCCCATACCATGACAGAACCATCAACCTGCCACTTTGAGTAGCAAGATCTATCATCTCTGATGTCATGTCTTTTGTGTTTACCCAACAAAGAAATAATAAGACTCCCCATTACATTTTATCATGACAACTTGATGTAACAAAAAGTAAAAATGATTTTAGAGGAAATTTTAATCATATAGAAAAATTGTTATGTTATACACAATGACCTAACAACTGTACCATTGAAATAGAAAAGTTTTTTAACACAAACCATGTATAGACAAGAAAATGTGTATACTTTAGTTTTTCCTATTTATCTTTATTGTTTCTATGTTATCAGTCACCTCTTGTGAATAAAAACTACAGTTTTAGCCAATTAAAAATAACATTGAAAAAAATAAATAATAGTTGTAGTTGAGTATTAGATTATTCTTAATTTTATTATATATACAGTATTTTATCATCATATTGTATGAGGTAAATTAATTGCTGTTTAAAAAATAATACTTTTAACATATCTTATTTAAGTTTACTTTTAAGGATTTTTAAATAGCACTAGGATAGAACTTTCTGAGAAGAATGATTATAAAAATATTTGGATGCAATTATTTCTAAATTATGACATTGTTTTTCTTAGTATTTCAAATTTCATACCACATGTACCTGTACAATTAAAATTAAATTCAAATTAAGTGAATTAGATAGCAATAAAAATAAAATGTATCATTACTTCAGTGCCTTGAACTTTTAACTTCATGTGGTCCTCTCTTGTTGTTTTTCCATCTTTACGTTTCTTCCAACAATATCCATCACGTCGATAACGAACACGTTTTCGACTGTACAAGAGCATTGATCCACTTTTAGGCCTGTGAATTTTTAGTAAAGTTTTCATCTAAATAAATCCTTATAATAAATAATAGAAATTAAAATCTTTAAGAAGATTTTGAAATTTCAAAAATACATTAAATGATCATTTTTGATCTTACCAGGCATTTAATACTTTAAACTTATATTGAATTCTAAAAAATATTTGTTTATATATCTAAACATAACTACGAAATAACACAAATAAAAAAATTAACTTTTAGATTTCAATACTATTTTATTGAAATAAATATAAATTGTTTATTGTCTTAATTAATGTAGCTTATTTATATTATTAAAATAAATTTAATAAATAGTTAAAATTTTATTTAATATAGTTTTTATTATTTCATGAATTAATTAATTTTTATGATTAATGATACATTTTGGTCAAAACAAGCAAAAAACTTTGTAAATCAGAGATGGCAATATCTCATCATATTTAATGAGACATGAGACTGTATCTAAGTTATTTCAACAATGAAAGGAGAATCTGTTATGTTAAGAAACAACTACTCAAAAGTTGATTGAGATAATGCACTGAAAGTTAACCTGTGGTTTTATGATTGTGCCTACTGGTTATTCCAACTATATCTTACAAAGTACCTCCAAGACCAAGATTACCAGATAACTATACTGCATATCTTAACCCCCCTTTCACCACGACGTTGTTGATTCTACTGTACTTTACCTTTCAAAACAATCCAAATTGTAGTCACTCAAGGTCACTATGTATTTTATTTTAAAAATTCACCAAAAATTGAAGTTTTATGATAAAAAAAAACAAACACACTTAAAAAAATGTTAAATTATGATCTAAACTATAAAAAAGTATCACCTTTCAAACACTCCAACAAATTATTTAATACTGTAAAGGAGAATTTACAGTATTAAATAATTTGCTGGAGTGTTTGAAAGGTGATACTTTTTTATAGTTTAGTCTAATTCCAGTATAATTTATTATATTTATGATCTAAATGTTTGATGTTATAAATTACTTTGATAAAAAATAAAATTGTTTGATTTCATTATTTGTTTCTGCCACCAAGCCAGCAGCACAAAAGAGAATATTGTTTTCTACATGATGATATAAGATTTAAGCATATTTATTTATATATTTTTTCATGAACATATCATTTTATATGAAAACAGTCTATATATACCAGTTTTCTGTTTCTCTTCAATAAACTCTCTTAGGTTAGTAGGACATTTTATTTTAAACATTAATATAAATTTCAATTTTTATCATAGATGTTAGAAAAAAACATTTAATTTTATTAATATTTTCAACTAATTAAGTTCATACTTTGCAATTGCTAATACTATAAACTTTTAAAAAAATTAACACATTTCAAAAAAAATGTTCAAAAAATTATTATTATTATTATTATGCCAAAATATAGAATAATAAAACACACTACACAAAGAAAATCAATTAGGGAATATGTTTCCTTTATTTGAAAAAAATAAAATAAAATTAAGACAAAAAACTAAATAATAATAAATTGAAATAATAATGTTAAACATCTGTTATAAAGATGAAAATAAAAATTTGTTGTAGAAGTCAATGTAAATTGAGAGTAATCAGAAACTCAACTGGCATGCAGTGCACAATCAGATTACAACTAGCAATTGCCCACAGACTTTACATGGCAAACTTTACCTTTAATATATATCAGCCTATTGACAAAATTTCAAAATTCCATCATGACATTGGCCTTTCTGAATTGTACATGTACAAAAAAATCATGTTTAGTAGGTCTGTGGTTGTTTTAAACTTTGATCACAGACAAAACACTGACTGATGCACAGCTTCCACTGAATACACTTTGTCAGAAAGCTGACTCCGCAGAGCATTATGTGGAACTTCCACTTATGCTCCACTCAATTACATAAAAAATAGACATTCCTATCCAGTTTCCTGATATTAGAATGTTAAACTATTTGGATTTGGATATCTTAGACAAAAATTGTCTCTGTAAAAATGTGAACAGTAGCTGCTTATAAAAAAAGAAACATTAAATTTAAGGCTGTGTACACATTAGATGTTTTTAAACGCACATTTTGGTAATGCACATTTTAAGGGCTTGTACACATTAGGTGTTTTCCGTTGCGTTAAACACGCATTAGTTCAGCGTTAGCACTGGCTCAGTTTGGAAATGGACGTGAAAGTAATTGCTCGCGTGTGCCTCCTCCATCGTTGCTATAAAAGACGATGGCAGAGGCAAAGAGAATTTTGGGTGCACCCAATATTATGAGATAGACTGACACATGGAATGTTTCTGATGTTGTATCCAAAACTAAGATAATATGAACCCAAATCTTTAAATTCGTTTAGAATATCTATAAAATCATTTGACGATGGCTGGTCTCTCTTAGATTTCATCAATAAATAGATCAGTATCGAAATGATCATTCTCCAATTCAGCCGACGTACATCCACTCTACCCGAAAGCGCGCGATCGAATGTACAACAACATGGCAGCACATATATCTCAAAACGCGCGTTTTAACAAAAATCTATCAACGCATGTTTGACGCGCGTGTTTGAGTACGTACGCCTATGCAGAACTCTTGATTCTTTAAAACGCGTGTTTAAAAATGCCTAATGTGTACACAGCCTAAAACAAGATTTCTCAAGATTTGATCAAATGGGCATTTCAATATTGATTATCATTCTTTATTAGTTTCCAACTCTATACTTAAGTGCATAAAATCCAATCACCTTCTGTACACACAGCATTTTTATAATTATTTTTCTATATTTTCAATAAAAATATCATTGCATAGATCAAGCAAGTAAATCTACTGTTTATGAAATAGTGTCAAGATAGATACATTTTGGTTAGTTTTTTTGCATTTTATCATCATATTAAAAGTGTCACTTAAGCTTTGAAGAATGATTATAGTATCAATATAATTCAGGATAGTAATAAATAAAAATGAATCTAATTTTCAAAGAAAAAATTATTCTACACAAAGTATAAATTTTATATCTTTGAATTTAGAATAGAAAACAATTAAATTTCTGTATTTTTATCAATTTTTAACCCTTAGTTCTAAGGTAAACTATCTTTTGAAATTCTTAACTCTTTTCAAATACAGTAGAACCTCGATTATCCGGACCTCTATTATCCAAATTTTCGATTATCCGGATTGTTCAAAATAAACAAAAATTTTATGAATTTGCTGATTTGCACTTGGCGAATTATGATACTGTTTATGTACGTGATGGAATGAATAACTTTTTTTGTTTCAACAACGTCTCACCCAGCACAGTGGTCGTAAACTCTTAAATATATTTTGCGTCATAATAAAAATATAACTTGACATACATATTTATAAATAATTTATATTTCGATTACATCATTTCTATGACCAAGGGCAGCGTATGGGAAACGTGGGCCACCACCTATGCCTCGTGGTCTGAAGGGCCTCACGCCTCAAAGATTTATGCATTACTTAAAAGCCACAAACACGACGAAAAAGTTTTAGTCATCATAAAATGATAAATAGTTTGTCAAATTTTTATTCATAAAAATGCAGTTTCAACTGCTTTTTATTTTATAAAATCTGTCTTTTTGTGCCACCAGAGGGCCTTTTAAACAATAGGTAGTCTGTTAGCGCTGGTTAGTAGTAGTCCAAATTCAATACGAACATTTGTTTCTTGAAAATTTGATCACAATTTAAATACAGTACTTATTTTTAATATTACCAATATGTCATCGAAAACAAAAAGTGTTGTATTATCATTAAAAGACAAATTAAAGTATTTGTTTCAATTATCCGAATTTTTCCTTATCCAGACTACCTTTATCCCCAATTAGTCCGGATAATCGAGGTTCTACTGTATTTGAATAATTTGAAAATGTTAGTTCTAATTTAATTTGTTTTTAATGGATTTTCTTTATTTGACATTTAATCAAAACAATTAAAGACACTCAATGATACCAACAATTAATCATCATTAGTTCTCTGCTTAAGAAATAGCAAATTCTTGAGCTATATCCACTTCTACCTCCACTTTTCTCTGTTCCATACCAAGGTCATCATTCTCTCATATCAAATGTCATCCTTTAAGTCATCCATTATCATCTTCCTCTTCTTCCCTTTCCTTTCTACTGATCCTTCTATAATTGCTTTCACAGAACCATTCTCTCTCAATACATGTCCTATACAATTGACCTTTCTTTTCCTTGTTTTTAGCAATCTTCTTTCTTCGTTAATTCTTCTGAGGACTTCTTCATTGTACATTTCATTCATCTACAGTCGACCATCCCTAAAACACGGTAGATACGTTCTGGTTTTTATGAAATCCATTTTCTACGAGTCCTTAAATGCATGAGCCAATCGCAGACTGGCACATATGCAGTTTACGGACTACGGCTGTTTGAAAGGTTTCCTTCCATAAAATTAATCGATTCTAGACTAATTTGACTCAACATTTCTATAATACATATAATTTTTTGGGAATAATCCATATAAACTATGCTATAAACAAAAAATTGTAGGATTACTTACCAAGTGTGCAGCGTTTGACGACGCCATTGCTTAAGCTTGTTTTCGTCGTGGAGCGGTGCATCGAATGGCACTCACGTGCTTCCTGATAAATTATTTTTCAGAAAAAAATTTGCTGAACTTTGGAGACATCATTAATATAAATATAATTTTTATGGACATTAAATAATAAATGGTTTTTAGTAGGTCCGCTGCTCGTTTAAACTCAACAGTTTGTGCAATATCCGCTATTGGTCTAGATTCGACCAATCCTGTCATGACACGAGTCAGCGATGACATTTTACTGAATTATATGAGTCTCTTTTAGCGTGTTTATACGAATATGGTTGCAATTTTTTCACTGTCATATAGGAATCCGAACTATATGAACCCATTTTATAGGGGTCTACTGTATTTAATTTGAGCATTTTTCACCATAACCACATCTCAAATGCTTTGTTTCTTTTCTTCTACTTTTCTCAGCATCCGATTTTCTCTGTACAAGAGTATACTCCACACAAAACACTTCACTATTCTTTTTCTCAATCCTGATCCAAAGTCCCACTGTGTATTGTTCTCATTTTCATAAACATTTGTTAGATAATTCAAATTCTCATCTGAACTTTTTCACATCTCTAGTCTGCTGTGATAATGCTGCCAAGACATCTGAAACAGATGACCTCTTCCATTCTCTTCCCTTCAATTACCAGCTGTCTCTCTTCTTTCCCTCCTACACTTAATGCCTTTTGCATTTTGTGCATTTACTTTTGTGTCCTTTTTTATAGCTTTCCTCAAGCTTCCTCACCATTTCTTTCAAATCTTCTTGCCTTTCAGCCAGTATTGCCATATCATCTGCATATTGTACACTTTTAATTTTCCTTCCTCCAATTCTCACATCTTCCCATATCATCTCAGCTTCACCTATCATCCTTTCCATATACAAATTGAACAAGGTAAGTGAGAAGAAGCAACTTTGCCTGATCCCTCTGCTAATGTTCAATCTTTCAGATTCTTTCCCTTTCATTCTCACAAATTGCACATTGTTCTCTGTATAGATTTTTTATCAATCTTCTTTCTTTCCAATCAATTCTTATTTCTTTTAAAATTGTCATAACTTTATTCCAGCTCACTTTGTCAAACACTTTCTCTAAATCAATAAAGCACAAGCAAAATGTATTATCCCTTTCTAAGAGTCTTTAACCTTCTGTGAGTCGCATGGGTCTGACAGACCCGACGCGATTTTTAGTCAAAATTTTTTAATATTAAATATTTTTTGAAAAATTTGAAAAAATTAATATTCCTCAAACTTTTTAATTAGATTAACAGGCTGTTAAAATTTTTTGCATAGCAACGCTCATTTTTTAGAAAAAAAATGCTTTACGAGTCGCATGGGTATGACAGACCCATGCGACTCACGGAGGGGGTAAAAAAACGTCAATTAATTTGTCGCCGTTGCCGATAGCGAGTGTCGCAATAACTTTATCGCGCTGAAGTTGTCGCGCGGTGTCTATTATACTTTATAATATCGTTATTTATTTATATATTTATATTTTTTTTTTTTTTTTGTTATAATATTGTTTTCAAAATTAATGTCTAATTAACTTTTAATCATTTTAATTATTATTCTATTTTTATCATATAATTTTTATATATTACTTATGATGATTCTTCGTATATTAGACGATGCAAGTTGGCATTTTTTTACATTTACTAACCAATGGGAAACTTGTGAAAACAGTCTAGCTATAAATTGCCGGGAAATATCTCCCCCCTTTCGGCAATGATCTTGGAAATCAAATGTAAACAATCGCTGTAAATTCGCTTGTTTTATTCGCGTTTTGAGCTATAAATTGTTAATTAAATATTGTTTCACAATGTATATACGAGTAAGCATGTTCTCAAAACTGTCTAGCAATAAATATTCCCGGGAAACTCCAACTCTCTATAGTAAGTCTATGGAAGATGTTATTGCTGTTAATTGGCTTTAAAATTTTTGTTTCTACGCCTATTACACTGTAATTGGTAATTTATATTATGACTGATTTAAGTTCAACGAATGAGAGGTTTCTTCAGAACCATCTGGTCTGGATTTTCCCGCGAAGAACCAATCAACGTGATTAAAGTCAGAATGTAAGCAAACCTTACAAATAGCTATCTTCTTCATTTTAGAGCCGTAATTCTGGTAATTTTACTCCTGAATGTTCCTGACAAAACAAACATTTGTTTAAATAACGTCAATTAAAATGAAAAGTAGCGAAATTAGAGCTGAAAACGATGAAAATGGCGATTAACTAACTTTTATTTACATTCTGACATTGATTTAAGTGAAAGGCTAATTCTTATCGCAGTCAATTTCCCACAAGACAATTCTGAGAAGATGCTTACTCGATCAAACGAAATAAAAGAACTACAGTATATGTTAGCTAATTAGCCCCTAAACATTATGAGAGCTAATTAGATATAAAGTGAAAAATTACAACTATGCGACAATCATATCGCATAGCTATCATTATTGTAAAATCAAATAATCTAAATTAATCTGATAAAAATACTTTAAATTGTTATCTGCAATTATTATCTATTTATTTTCCATCGCTAAACAACAAAACAAAACTAAAACAAGAACGTAAACTACATTTTAAGTAATTATAAATGAAATCGCTGCGTTTAATCGCGTTACGACTTTGTTGTCGCGCAATACGCAACGCGCGACAGAAAAAAACAAAAATAAATTATGACAATACAAATTGTGAAAATTACAAAATTTTTGATAATTGCATTTTTATAACATTCAGGTATTGACATGGATGTATTTTTTAAGTATTATTTTGTAAAAATTTTATATTATGAAGAAAACAAATTTCAGAATCGAGAGCATGTCGTAAATTGCCGAATTTTTGATGGTCCACCCATTATTTTTTCGATCGCTTCTTTTCATGCACAGAAAACATTTATAACTAAACTATAAGCAAATAATTTTGATGAATTCTATAATATTTTGAACGATGTCAATTTTTGAAAATAGGTGATCGAGTTAAGCCTAACACACGACTATATCAGATAAAAAATAAAAATTATGTCTAAAAATCATATGAAACTATCTATTAAATCATAAAGACAACATTCTTATAAGTAAAATGAAGTAAAATCTTTGTCAATTAGTTGATTTACAACTCAGAAAAGAAGTGTTGAAAATAGAGTCATAAAACAATTAAAGTTTATTGACTTTCGCAATAGGGGGTAACGCGGGGTGGTTGACAAATTTTCTCGCAGTAGTGCAAAAGTTCTACTCACTTCGCTTGAAAGTGTCATATTTCTTCCCCACTTACAAACAAACCCGATGGCAATCGGTGAAACAGGAGATAAATTACAGCGAGTTGAAATTTGATATGTTTTTTTTTTGCGTTTTTCATATCGAATTACATAAAAATAAATATTAAAAAATTCATTTTGTCAATACGCAAGTAATTTATATCACTAGATAGAAAACAAAGTGCAGAATCAAACTAAGAAACTGTAGTTTCTTTACGCGATAGATAAAATTGAATTATTTCATATTAAAAACACTGGGTCTGTAAGACCCATCGACTCAAGTAAGGGCCCCATTCCTAGCGACTTACGCAGGGTTAACCAATAATTCTCACTAGTAACAATTATTAACAATGAAAAATAAAGAAATTTAAAACTAAACAAAAAATTTTTTAATAGTCATGTCAATGTAAATATTCAACAATTAAAAAAATCTAAGTTAAACTCAGACATTGTTTACTATAGATTTTCTTTTTAAATGTATTTTGACCAATGATTTAGTTTTATTTTATACAGGGTGTATCTTTCTATCTAAATAAAATAATTTTCAACTCTCTAGCAAAAAACACTTGTCTCAGAATTTGATACTTGTTAGCATAAGCAACTTATGTATACAATTTTCAAATACATATGGCTAGAGATATTCCATCAAGTTTTGAGAGAGTAATATTAATTTTAAATAGAACTATCTGAACCATATCCAACACTACAAATCTTTATTATTTAAATTAAGTGCAGCAATAAAAATTTTAAAAGAATTATTTAAAATTTGAATAGGAGAGTAAAATACTATTTTTCTGATAACTGTAGTAAAAATATAGATGAAGTTATGCTCATTTATGATAAATCAAAAATTAACTTTTGAAGTTCAATTTAGAAATGCACATTTGTGTTTATTATTAATTATAATTATTCCAATGTTAAAAAAATGTACCATATTTTCTGGATTCTGAAATGCACATTTTTGTTTTTTTAATCTTTTTTACTTGTCTAAAATAGAGATACATCTTAGAATCAATGGCATTTTACATTTTTACACCCCAAAATTAAAATTATTGATATCAATCAGTAATTTTAAATTTTGCAGTTATCACACACAGACAAATGGTGTGTTTATACTATTTCTAGACCAATAGATATTTTTCAGCTATATTGTTCAATGTTCATATCAGTTCAAATGAACTTTGGTAGAAATAAGTGTTTAATTTGTATTATGATGCTTTATTGTATATGCAGAAAAACAAAAATTGACCAACATTGCCTATTTCACATGGCATTAATATTATTTTTGTAACTTGTTAAGTAAGAAACTTTAATAGAATTAGCTATTTAAAAATTTTTCCCTCCATAAAAGAAAAATCTTAAAGTTTTATTTCACTCATGTTGCCTCTTAGAATTTAGGAAATATGATAATATTTACAACTAAAATAAGAAAAAAAACAGCATACAAATATGAATTTTAACATAAAAATATAATGGTACAGTAGAGCGTCATTTATCCGAATCAATTGGGGACTGGTGTTGTTCGGATAACTTACTTTTCGGATAACCGATTATGTACGAAAAAATATATTAACCTATCCCGTGTTGAAATTTTTCTCTGTTGCGTGTCGCTTCGCGTTGAATTTTCGTCGATGTTAAGCCTAACGTAAATTTTTTAAAATAATAATCGTGGCTATTGTATCGTTAAAAATGATTTCTTTATGTTTTACAAACGAAATAAATACATTGAAAAATATAAAAACAAACAAAAATTATACTTTAGGCCAACTGGATTTCTTTTGGATAACCGACGTTTCGGATAAACGACGCTCTACTGTATTATTTATTTACATTTTAAACTATCCATGTAATACAACTGCATAAGGCAGAATGTACAGTAAAAATTAATATTTTAAATTTATTTTCAATTTAAATTAATTATTATTTTATATTTTACTATTATTGAAAATGAATAGAATTATATTACCTAATTTTCACCTCTTTGGATAACCACTCTTCATGTTTATGAAAACTGATTAAAATTGATGCAATTTCCTATTTAAAATAAATGGAATGTATTATTAGATTTAACAAAACTATAGACTTCTATATTAATCTAAAAATTTTAACTTATATACTAAGAAAATTAAATAAATGCATTATTAATTACATATTACTCGTATGTGCCACAATTTCTCCTTAAATTTATGTATATACTTGAATCATCTTAACAATAATAAACATTAATTATATTACAGTTCGAACATGTTCAGCAGAGTATAAATTACAAATCTACGACCACCTACACATTACTGAAAAAAAAATTTTTAATTACTAACATTTTCAGCCTACTCCTATAGGCCATCGTCAAGTTTCTTAAATTGTTTTTAGAAACTGTTTCACAAATAGAACATTCCATTTAAATTTTAATTTTTGAAAAATTCTAAATACAGATTTAAATGTGAATAAGTTGACTAAATAACTTATGAAAAATATGAGGTTAACGATTATTATAATATCATTAAAAAGATACGTTCTTCAACCATCACTATGTATATGGAAAAAAATAGAGATTTACAAGAGCAAGATCAAAGAGCAGTGCCTGAATGTGAGAGATGCAAACACATTACCTTCAGCCTGGAAATAAATCATCTTTCAAATCACATCTTTTTGTCCAAATATCTTTCAAAGTCACAAATACCATATTTAGCTTTTGTGTTATACTCTCATAGTTTTTGTATATATTTTTCTTATTTTCATGTTTTATTTGTATTTTGTTAACCTTGTATATTTTTAAGTTTATTTTTATTTATCATTATCCTTATATTTTATTTATTTAACTCGTTTACATTTAAATTTGTATTTAGAATTCTTCAGAAGTTAAAATTTAAATGAAATGTTCTATTTGTGGAATAGTTTCTATAGGAGTAAGCTAAAAATATTAGTAATTAAAAATTCTCTCTCAGCAAATGCATATGTGGTTGTAGATTTGTAATTAATTATATTAAATGCAAAACTGACAAACTTACCACATTTACAAAATAGTTAATTATATTAATTTTAACACAGCTTGGTTTTTTTGTTATAAGTTAATAAGTTAAAAAGAGTGTTTAATCTATTAAGTTCATATTGTCAAATACATATAATAAAATTTTATTGTACACTTCTATTAATAAAGAATTAGTAAACATTTAAAAGTTTATTTCAATTTTAAATATTTTCAAATATTGTTTAAAATATCTTGTAAGATTAGTATTGGAAATTCTGTTATCTAAAAGACTGCTATAGATAAACATTATTTGGTAGCTATTTTAATAAAGACATTAAAATTTTTACTTCATAGTATTCTTGGCTGCCCATTTAACTTCTACGTAACAATTCTATTTACTTGTTATGCATGTTTAATATAACTATTTAATTCACAATAATGATGATACATTTGACCCCCCTATAACGTGCGTTCCTATAATGGAAATTCCTATAACGTAGCAAAAAAATTGTAGCAACATTCGTATAAAGGACTCCTAAAATGTCGTCGCTGACTCGTTTCGCGACAAGATTGATAGAATCTGGACCAATAGTGAATGAGCAGCCGAACAACTTTCCTCCGCCCTGCGCCACGCTACGGAACGGCTAAATTGAGTTTGCTATCGTCTGTACAGTATTATATATAAATTAGGTACTGTACATATAATTATATATTAATTATATATAAATTAGGTACTGTATATATAATTATATATTAACTTATTGTAACTTTATTATAATTAAATATATAATTTCCGCCGTCTAGCGTGGCGCCACGCTACGGAGATTTTAGGCAATAAGTTGAGTTTATTATCGTCTGTACAGTATGTAAATTAGGTACCTTAAGTCTAATACAGCACTAATTTTATACATTTCTTGTGAAAGAAACATTTCTTATTCAACGGCCATAAAAATTATTTATATTAATGATGTCTCCAAAGGTCAAGTTATTTTTCTGCAAAAAATTCGTTATCAGAAATCACGGCCACCGTTTCGTGTGCTGTTCCGCGACGAAAACAAGCTTTGAGCAACGGCGTAGTCGAATGATGCACGCTCGGTAAGTAATCCTATAATTTTTTGTTTATAGCATAGTTTATACAGATTATCCTCAAAAAATTATACGTGTTTTGGAAATCTTGAGTGGAATTAGTCTAGAATCGGTTAATTTTATAGAAGAAAACCTTTCAAACAGCCTGAGTCCGTAAACTTCACACCTATTGGGCTGTGATTGGCTCATGTATTTAATCATTCCTACAATGTAAAATTTGATTAACGTGGAACGTATCTAAGCATTATAGGGGGGTCTACTGTATATTCATTATACAATACCTATTATAAATATACCAAAATATTAATACTTTCTCAATAAATTATGAGCAAAAAATTTTTGTGTCATCATCTCATTGCTAGACTGCAATTTTTAATCAATTCAATTTAAAATGTTTGATTTTAATTTTAAATAATATTTTGCCCCTGTACATCATACTTTTCCTGATAACAATAGAGTCTTACCAGTCATCTCACTCACTCCATTCTGGAGAAAATTTTTTAACTGAAATAATGTTACTTCCAATCCAGACTAGAAGTTTGTATAAATTTAATTGGGGCCTCCTGTCTCTAAGCTTTCCATATCTGGTCTTGACTATCATTTATCTAACTTTTTATCTAACTCTTACAGACAGATATATGCCAGTGGGATTTACAGGTCTGTAATTTAAAAATTGCAGCCCAATAACTTATATCAATAATTTTAAGAGTTCCTATTTAAAAATGTTTATGATTAATGAGAAATTAGTAACAATAATATATATTTTGCAGAAGCAAAAGACAAACAATATTATAGATATGATTATAAAAATTAATTTATTCAAAGCATTTCATTTCATTTAATTAACATTGAATTGGAAATGATGGAAAAATAATATTTTTAGTTTGGATTGATATATATTTATTCTAGCAAATTTTTATTAGAAATGTGGCAAAAGATTGTTAAAACTGTGTTGAAAAAATTATGTATATACAGTAAAACCTGTCTATGGCAACTACCCATGGTTCCTTCAAAAAGTGGTCTTTTAGACAGGTGGTCGTCCAATACAGGTGGTGCTGTACTACCATATTTCCGTACATATTTTGTGCACTTTTTAGCCATTTCTACTAAGCAAAACTTGAGGTGAGCAAAAATAAGCAAATTTTTTCAACAATAGGGCTATATTGGTATTGTATTTTATTCTTATTGGTTAACTCAATTTACAGGAGTTGTCATAATTTTATAAGACATATTTAATACCAATATTTTAAAGATTAATACAATAGTCACATTTCCTTGATTATAATGCACATTTTCTTTTTTCCGACTTAATTAATTCGACTCTGTTCTTTTCGTTTGCTCCTCAGTTACATGTATTGTGTCATTGATATACAAGTGCGTCATATCTCTACATCACTTTGTTTTTGGTATTTGTTAGTTTAATCTTATTTTAACTTTAAAAATACTGTATTTTTTAATATTTAATATTTTCTTAAGTACAATAAGAAAAATTATTAATTAATAATAAAACGATTNTGTGTCATTGATATACAAGTGCGTCATATCTCTACATCACTTTGTTTTTGGTATTTGTTAGTTTAATCTTATTTTAACTTTAAAAATACTGTATTTTTTAATATTTAATATTTTCTTAAGTACAATAAGAAAAATTATTAATTAATAATAAAACGATTTTATTTTTTCTTCTCATTATATGATTTCACTACATTCCGTGATTGTCATTGCGGAATCAAAAAAGGAATATTGCCTGTAAAACTGATTTTTGCATTAATGCATTTATTGTTTTTTGAATATTTTGTGTGCGAAAATTACTTGGATATTATTTTTCTAAAAATATCGTGGAAATAAGGTACGTTGATACAGAAACTATTTATCGCACATGTACTGTATATGAGCTTCAAAATAAATAAATAAAAATAAATTTTATCAAACTATGAGATCAGACGATTAATTGTATCATGAACAATATTTTATACCCCCAATGAAAATACTGTAGGTCTACGGCAAAATCAATTTCATTTTCCCACAGTTAAACTTTGCTGCTAATTGCTGTTGTGATAACTAACACAATCTTCTAATGACAGCACTTTGCATTTCTTTCATTTTTTGGACAATTTTGAACAAATTGAAATGAATATCCTTGTTGCTAGACTAATTCATTAACACCTGCACCTAATTTCAAGGGTGGGAGAAGTGCCCAAGGTGGGTTCGAACGAGAGTTTAGACTAATTCATTATATTAGGAGGGGGAAAACGTTGTTGAACAATAGTTTAGACCAAATATATTCACGGAAGTGGTTGCATATTACAGTTGTTGTATGTTGTTTCAGACCAAAAATCGATGCCCGCAGTTGCGTTACACAGGTGGTTGTTCAATACAGGTAACTTATTGGTGACTCTATGGATAAACTATTCAGTGCCAGAAATTTTTGCCCATTTTGACAGGTGCCCGTCAAATGCAGGTGGTCGCATAAGCAGTTTTCACTGTATATATAAATTTCAAACAATGTCCTAACAATTTCAGAGAGATACTTAATAGAAAACAATCAGAAATACAAAAATTAATATAAAAAAACTTAATTCTGTCAAAACATTAATTATCAGAATACTAAGCATCAAATACAAACATCCAGTTTTATCCTGCTTTTTTATTGTAATAATTTCTAAATTAATAACAACACAGTTTGAGGATAACTAACGAAATATTTAAATAAAAATAAATATGAATAAAAATTTTTCTAATTAATATAAACTATTACCATAATTTCCCACAAAACAGCATATACCTGGCCTTCAAGCTGACTTAAAACAGATACTATCATGCATATAACCTGAGGTTATGATAATTTACAATAATAATAATAATACCTCATTTGTGTTCCAACGATGTCTTTGTGTAGGAAAATAGTCTGCTCTGGGAATACTTTCCAAACTTTTAGGTAGTACATGTTTGCCATCTTCTGTTTCTGTTTCATAAAGCAAAATTGAGAATCATTTTTAAAAAATTATGAAAAATATAGTATAACTATATAATTATTCATAAATAATATGTAAAATTTAAAAAATATTTCAAAACTACTATGATACGCTTCTTGTCTAGTCTTCAAATTGTTACTGTGAATTTACTTATCAATTTGTTAACAATGTATATTTTTATGGCTTTACTGTTTTACCGGTACCTCTGTTTATTATTACGTTATTGCACCAACATTACCGTTTTTAACGAGAAATCTTGTATATCGTATGCTTAATCTTTTAATTAATGTTCAACGCGTCGAATCCACATGTCAAATGTAAGTCCACATTTTTGTTCATTTATGTCAATTGCGGCCTTTTTATAAAATTGTTAACCTCCTATTAATTTTTGTAGCAAATAGCTGATGAGGGACTCTATGTCCGAAATGCATTCTGAAAATAAAATAGTGTTTTTCCAAATCTAACTTGATGACCTGTGGTGGTGTAATAAGTCTAGAAGTAAAGTAAAGCCAATCTTAGTGCTCACTAACCACTATTTCAAAACTGTTTAAAAACTGAAAGTCTATATATCTCACTTACATAAATAAAAGTAAATTTTCTTTATTTTAAAATAAATTCAACAAAAACAACAACCTATTTTTCATTTTATACAATTACAGTAGACCCTCCACTTTTGCAATTTCATTCGTTCTTGGAAATTAACTACAGTATTATCAAACCTTTCAAAGCAAGCCAACGTATTTCAAAAGTCAGCAATGTAAATTGAAATTAATTCCCAGAATCATGAAGTGTATCTATAGTGAAACTTAAATACAAAAACGTAAGTGATTAAAGATATAAACTTCTTACTATACAATAAACTATGTACATTCTAATTTTACTCTAATCTTTTCTTCACATATTGTCAAGATATTAACCATGCGGACCCATCTAGTGGCTTCCAATCTTGTCAAATTTAACATCTCTAAATTTTCATTTCTGGTGATATATCAAAAACATAGTATGTATTACTCTCCAGTTTGTGTTTCTCTCATTAAAAAATTGGTTCTTTATTTTTGTTGTGTCATATAACCTTTGGCAATCTGGTGGTGCCTGTGGATGCCTCGAGAATAATGTTTTTAAATACAAAAAATTAAACACACAGAATCACAAAAATCAATTATATTGAAATAGTTATCAAATAAAAAATAACTTATGATATAGTACCATCTCTATTACTATATCACAAATTTTACTAATGAATTTATAACAGTTGTAAGTTACTGAATATAAAAATCTAAATTTTTTTTTTTTTGATCTAAGTTCACAGACACTAAAATCTATTCATAGACTCCAGGTTAAGAACCCCTGAAAAGGATCTGCAAGATATATTTATGACTGTTTGGTATATCCTAATTCAAAACATGTGTTAGTGTGGAATGAACTTCAATTCAGCTGAAATTTATGCTGCATCACTTGTGGAAGCCATATTTAGCATATGTAAAGTATTTTGTTTATTTATAATTATATTTATTCCAATCATAAAAGCAGCAAGTTGTAAAGCAAGTGGCCATAAAGCAAGAGTAAATATTATTCAATCTTACTATTATTTTTATAGTATCTTATAATTTTGCAAGTTTTAAACAAACAAAAAAAAAACTATTAAATGATATATAATAATAATGATGATAATGAAATTATAAGATTTAATATATAAAAAATGATAAAAGTAGCTACTGCCAAATGCCTTTTTATTATACTACAATAAAAAAAATTTATTCACTATATAAAAAAATTGATATTGATTTTAATTTTTATGAAATTAATTTTACAAGAATATCTTCAGCTTGCAGTAAATTCACCTCACTTTGAATATATTTTTAAAAATTTCTTCTTTTGCATTTATTTAGGATCTTAAACAGTGTATATTTTTTTATTTTTATTTCTGTAATAGGCAGATAATATGTTTATAAGTTTCTTATCTCTGTTTGCATTAACTATTAAGCTTCCTTTCTGAGATAAGTAATTCCTTTTGATTCTAATGAAAACTTTTTCTTACTAACCTAATATAATTTTATAGCAATTATTTCTATGTGAAGACTCAAAATGCCAAAATACATATATATATTATATATTGAAGTGATTTCCTATATATATTATTATAAGAAATCACTTCAATCAGAAGTTATTCTCAGAAACAAAACAGTTTAGTTTTATTTGCTTTAAGATTTTTGAACATTAACAAATATCACTGAATTAATAAATATTAATTTAATTAAGCTTTTTAAATTAGATTAAATGCTAATTCTGTAGTTATATTAAAAGGCAGAAACTAATAGTTAAGTCTAAAAAAACTGAAAGAAAGCATGAAAATTGAAGCAATTTAGCATTTGAACAATTTAAACTTCTAAAATAAAAAAATGCATAAATATATTATTAGTACATTAATAAAATTACAAAATAAACAATCAAAGTTTATGGTGAAGATTATTAACATTAAAAAACATTAAGTCAGTTAAGTTTTATCTGAAACCTGCTTTTTTTTATAGAGATTAACAAAAAATAAGAATAATAGAAAACATTAGAAAAAAAAAATTCTCAAAACTTTTTTAATACAGTAGAGCATCGTTTATCCAAATCAATTGAGGACTGGGGTTGTTCGGATAACTGATTATGTACAAAAAAATATATTAACCTATCCCACGTTGAAATTTTTCTCCGTTGCATGTCGCTTCGTGTTGAATTTTCGTTGATGTTAAGCCTAACATAAACTTTTTAAAATAATAATCATGGCTATTGTATCGTTAAAAATTATTTTTTTTATTTTTTACAAACAAAATAAATATATTGAAAAATATAAAAACAAAAAAATATTATACTTCAGAAGTTAATTTAGTATCAAAAACGTAAAATATTTGAGTAGCCCAAGACATAGCCAAAGATTGCAGCNAGCTCGGCTGTAGCCGCCCACTGTAATAATGAAGGCTGTCAGATTGTAAAGGATACTGTCAAAATACTTAGAAAGGAACCAAATACTTATAAAAGAAGATGGTACGAACACTTAGAAATAATTAAAAACAAAGAGAAAATCATGAATAACAACTCTGGCCAAAAATTACATGAATCGTGGTACGCATATTTGACCAGAGGAGGCGTGGGGGAGGGGAGAGGTGTGAAAACGGATAGGGATGAGGGTGACAGTCACCCTGGAATGTACTTCGAATCGTCTTGTTACTCTGTTCGTGTTACTGTGAATTTACTTATCAATTTGTTAACAATGTATATTTTTATGGCTTTACTGTTTTACCGGTACCTCTGTTTATTATTACGTTATTGCACCAACATTACCGTTTTTAACGAGAAATCTTGTATATCGTATGCTTAATCTTTTAATTAATGTTCAACGCGTCGAATCCACATGTCAAATGTAAGTCCACATTTTTGTTCATTTATGTCAATCACGGCCTTTTTATAAAATTGTTAACCTCCTATTAATTTTTGTAGCAAATAGCTGATGAGGGACTCTATGTCCGAAATGCATTCTGAAAATAAAATAGTGTTTTTCCAAATCTAACTTGATGACCTGTGGTGGTGTAATAAGTCTAGAAGTAAAGTAAAGCCAATCTTAGTGCTCACTAACCACTATTTCAAAACTGTTTAAAAACTGAAAGTCTATATATCTCACTTACATAAATAAAAGTAAATTTTCTTTATTTTAAAATAAATTCAACAAAAACAACAACCTATTTTTCATTTTATACAATTACAGTAGACCCTCCACTTTTGCAATTTCATTCGTTCTTGGAAATTAACTACAGTATTATCAAACCTTTCAAAGCAAGCCAACGTATTTCAAAAGTCAGCAATGTAAATTGAAATTAATTCCCAGAATCATGAAGTGTATCTATAGTGAAACTTAAATACAAAAACGTAAGTGATTAAAGATATAAACTTCTTACTATACAATAAACTATGTACATTCTAATTTTACTCTAATCTTTTCTTCACATATTGTCAAGATATTAACCATGCGGACCCATCTAGTGGCTTCCAATCTTGTCAAATTTAACATCTCTAAATTTTCATTTCTGGTGATATATCAAAAACATAGTATGTATTACTCTCCAGTTTGTGTTTCTCTCATTAAAAAATTGGTTCTTTATTTTTGTTGTGTCATATAACCTTTGGCAATCTGGTGGTGCCTGTGGATGCCTCGAGAATAATGTTTTTAAATACAAAAAATTAAACACACAGAATCACAAAAATCAATTATATTGAAATAGTTATCAAATAAAAAATAACTTATGATATAGTACCATCTCTATTACTATATCACAAATTTTACTAATGAATTTATAACAGTTGTAAGTTACTGAATATAAAAATCTAAATTTTTTTTTTTTTGATCTAAGTTCACAGACACTAAAATCTATTCATAGACTCCAGGTTAAGAACCCCTGAAAAGGATCTGCAAGATATATTTATGACTGTTTGGTATATCCTAATTCAAAACATGTGTTAGTGTGGAATGAACTTCAATTCAGCTGAAATTTATGCTGCATCACTTGTGGAAGCCATATTTAGCATATGTAAAGTATTTTGTTTATTTATAATTATATTTATTCCAATCATAAAAGCAGCAAGTTGTAAAGCAAGTGGCCATAAAGCAAGAGTAAATATTATTCAATCTTACTATTATTTTTATAGTATCTTATAATTTTGCAAGTTTTAAACAAACAAAAAAAAAACTATTAAATGATATATAATAATAATGATGATAATGAAATTATAAGATTTAATATATAAAAAATGATAAAAGTAGCTACTGCCAAATGCCTTTTTATTATACTACAATAAAAAAAATTTATTCACTATATAAAAAAATTGATATTGATTTTAATTTTTATGAAATTAATTTTACAAGAATATCTTCAGCTTGCAGTAAATTCACCTCACTTTGAATATATTTTTAAAAATTTCTTCTTTTGCATTTATTTAGGATCTTAAACAGTGTATATTTTTTTATTTTTATTTCTGTAATAGGCAGATAATATGTTTATAAGTTTCTTATCTCTGTTTGCATTAACTATTAAGCTTCCTTTCTGAGATAAGTAATTCCTTTTGATTCTAATGAAAACTTTTTCTTACTAACCTAATATAATTTTATAGCAATTATTTCTATGTGAAGACTCAAAATGCCAAAATACATATATATATTATATATTGAAGTGATTTCCTATATATATTATTATAAGAAATCACTTCAATCAGAAGTTATTCTCAGAAACAAAACAGTTTAGTTTTATTTGCTTTAAGATTTTTGAACATTAACAAATATCACTGAATTAATAAATATTAATTTAATTAAGCTTTTTAAATTAGATTAAATGCTAATTCTGTAGTTATATTAAAAGGCAGAAACTAATAGTTAAGTCTAAAAAAACTGAAAGAAAGCATGAAAATTGAAGCAATTTAGCATTTGAACAATTTAAACTTCTAAAATAAAAAAATGCATAAATATATTATTAGTACATTAATAAAATTACAAAATAAACAATCAAAGTTTATGGTGAAGATTATTAACATTAAAAAACATTAAGTCAGTTAAGTTTTATCTGAAACCTGCTTTTTTTTATAGAGATTAACAAAAAATAAGAATAATAGAAAACATTAGAAAAAAAAAATTCTCAAAACTTTTTTAATACAGTAGAGCATCGTTTATCCAAATCAATTGAGGACTGGGGTTGTTCGGATAACTGATTATGTACAAAAAAATATATTAACCTATCCCACGTTGAAATTTTTCTCCGTTGCATGTCGCTTCGTGTTGAATTTTCGTTGATGTTAAGCCTAACATAAACTTTTTAAAATAATAATCATGGCTATTGTATCGCTAAAAATTATTTTTTTATTTTGTACAAACAAAATAAATATATTGAAAAATATAAAAATCAAAAAATATATACTTTAGAAGATGATCTAGTACAGGGGTGGCCAAAACGTGGCGCATGCGCCAAACTTGGCGCATTGGACGACTACAAGTGGCGCTTCAGTCGGTTCCGAGCAACATTGCCAGATTTGGCTTCATTGCAATTATGAATATTACATAGGAAATTAATTTTTTACAGTGTGTCTTGGCAAGTGTATTTCTTACTCAATTCGGTGCAATCGACCTGTTGACCTTTTTTATTTTTTTTGCTTGTACGATACACGATACATTCGTGTTCATGTACACCGCTAGTGGCATATAGAACTATTTTATACACTACAACCGCATTTTTCATTGCTTATTCTGTGGAAAAACTGAATTTTCGTCTTATAAATTGAAATACGTAATTAAGGGGTGGCCGAAATTTTTCTCCGCCCCGGGCGGCTAACANTGGAGTAGCCCAAGATATAGCCAAAGATTGCAGCGCCACAGCACTAGCAAAAATTTAAATTTGCCGACTGAAATGCTTTCGGATAACCGACGCTCTACTGTATTTAATAATGAAAAAAAATTTAAAAATAGTATAATATAATAGTAAACAAGTCATCATACTTGTTTACTATTACAGGCCCTTACTTAAATTTACTTCTAAAAATATAATTTTGAAAATAAAAGAGGCAAATTTATTTACCTCTTATTTCCAAATGATATGATCATAGACTGTTATAAGCTTGTCATTTTTACAAAATTCAATAAAAATAATCTAAAGTTAATATTAATACAATAAAACCTTGATTTAACAAGTATTAGACCTAAATCAAACAAACAAGCATTTTTTTAGAACTAATTGTATTTAACTAAATAAATAATGTTCTTAAGTGCAGTGATTCTTGGATTTGAAAAAAACCCTGTCAATTTAATTACATATAAAATTTTAAAATTAATACCCTGTTAATTTTCACAACATATGAACCAGAAATTTTGTCAATTAAATCAAGATGTTACTGTAATATAATTTTAAATTTGGTAACTGCAACATTTTTAAAGTTGAAAAATATTACAATAATCCCTTATAAGATTTCTTCAATGCTATAATTTAAAAAAATGAGCTACTGTATTATTCTTAATCCATTCAGCACGCAATTAAATCATATAAATTTAAAAATAATTAATTTTACATTCTTATTTTACAAAAAATTTATACTTCTAGTTTAAAGTAAGCCAAAAAGTATTAATATCTAACGTAAGAAAACAAATATATTAAACACCATTGTCAGAGTAACATTATAACTAAATGTTATGGGAAAAAAAATATGATACACTTAGTACAACAAACGTTTCCAAAATTCATAAATGAAAAGGAAAATGATACATAGTATTTAGATTAGATGATACTTTCCTGTATATTTATTTATCATTTATTAACAAACCAGAATTATATGTAAGCATAACATACAAATGTTATGTACGTAGCCTCTAAACAAAGATTGATTCTGCTGTAAGACTTATTTCCTGAGGTGTAAGACAAAAGAAGACTCTTTTATTGTATAGTCTTTCGTTTTTGTGAATATGTACAGTATACACATCTGAAATTTGATAGATAAATATTTATGTTACAAAATAATGTGCAATACATGAAATTTGTTGAAAAGTTTTTATATTAAAAAGTGCCCAAACAATTTTTTCCTAAATTTACTACATCAATATCTGACAGAAGTTGCTTTCACTTTTACATAGCAAAGTAGCTCATGATTTTTATACAACAGTTGTGTCAAAATTCTTCAATTAATAGTATATAGAAAGTTATAATTGTCAAAGCATTTCAATATTTAAAAAAATTGCCATATGTGTTAATATGCAAAACATACAGATGATGATAAATTAGAATGGAGTAAGGACTGACATACAAATTTTCAATTATAGTTATAATATCCAAAACTGTGACTTCAATAATTAACAGAAATATTACATGCAATTCCTATGAGATCACTACATATGATGAACAGATTGAATGACAAATATTTTTATATATTAATAATGATTTATTAAAACTGACCTGTTGTCACAGGCTTTTTCTCACTATTCTGTACATGAGTCACCAAACCTGCAGAGAGTAATAGATAGTTATGTTACAAGCAATAGTTACACTTATTCATACATTTATTAAAGAGTGAAAATGAAATTAAGAAAAACTTTTATGCAAATATCAATTTGCAATAAACAATATTCTTCATTAATTCAAAATATGAACTTTACATTAACAGCATTTTTAAAAATTGATCTTTAACTAGAAATTTGTAATACAGGAATAAATATAAAAAGAATATACACAGTATATTATCAAATCAAGTTTTATAAATTAATTCTAATATCTAATATAGAATTTTGAAATACAGAAAAAAGTCATGTTGAAAAATTAACACTGTCATTTCATGTGGATAACTCAAGTTATCAGTGTTTAAATGGCAATTTGAAAGCAAGTGCAGATGAAACAAGTTATATGCCAATTTTATATTGTAATTACAATATTAAGAAGCTTTTCCTTTGTCTAAAGTCAATGAAAGTTTCTTTAGAAAAAATATGAAAAATCCTTTGTGCACAACTGCCATTGCAATTTTTCTCAAAACCACCAAAGACAAATGCACATATCAGTACCTCATTTTTAGATCTCTTGTTGGGTTGCAATTTGAAAAAGTTATAGACTTATAAATTCTCATGTCGTACATCCACTATCATTCCTTTGTAGAATGGAATTAGATACATTAAAGTCAAGATCAGATATAGAAAGCTTAGGGGCAAGAGGTCCCAATTAACTATATATGAACTTTTGAAGCAAACCAGAAGTCACATTATTTCAATTCAAAATGTTTTCCCTAAAAGGAATTAGATAGATGACTGGCATGACTTCATTTCCAACAGAAATGTGTGATGTGCAGGGGCAAGACACTACAGTACTAATTTCAGGTGGAGAGTATTTAATTTTAAATTAAATAAATTAAAATATGATTAAAAGTTGCAGCCCATTATTAAATTAATAAATTAAAAAATATGATTAGTAATTGCTCATTCATTGTGGTTTTTAAATCCATGTTTTAGTTATTACCATTAGACACTCTACTTGAACTTTTGTATTGAAAGCTAATAAATTTCTGGTTAATTCATGTCATCATTTCAGAAAACTATTTAGAAATGGTATCAATACTGATATAAGATAAGACTAAACAGTAACTAGACACACACAAGATATTTATATTTATGTAAGGTATTTGTATGTAAGATATTTATATAAGGTATTTTGGGTTTCTCTATTTAGAAACTGGCTATCAAGTTTATTTTATATTAATATCACTGCTTTTTTTTATTGCTATAAAGTGAATCTTTATAATTAAAATAATTATATACACTTAGAACAATAACTCTAGATTGATTGTGCAATGTTTCTTCTTGTTTACACACATTAGCATTGCTTTCCACCAAATTAAAACTAAATATGGCATCACTATCATTTTGTTTTATCTGCTTAAATTCTATGATGTACAAATCTGTTTTATATTAATTAAACACAATTTGTTAAAAATATAAAATTATTATTAAATAACTATCAAATTACAAAACAGTGGTAAAATAAATTTAAAAACTGAGTGATCAATTCTCAAACTCACATCACATTGAATATTATCAATATTAAAATTATTTTCTATTTAATTTTTCTGACTTTATTTCATCATAACTTATTTTATAATTATGATTATGTGAGCCACTGGGGGAGGTTGGGAATTCCTCTTCTTTCTGGCAGTTGGTCTGTGACCTACTTTCTTGTCAAGGAGGGCAGTAATGTTTGGTTATGCGTTACGCGAGTGGAGGAGAGTCAGAGGGGTCGACAATAAGATGTTGGCAAAGTTGAGTAAAGACACTATTTAAAAACAAAACAAGAGTTTATTACAATCATCTACGGAAAAAATTTCAAACCTAATTACTCTAAGTTCCATTATAACAACCTATCCTGCTACTGCGCGGATGGCGGAGAGAGTTTACAAATATGCGTTCATACCTCTTTGCATATATCAGTTGGATATTCTTCCGTAATATTGTCCAAATGGATTTGGGGGTATGGCACAAGGTTCTACGGTAGTGTAGGTCTGCGATGGAGAAGATGATGTCAGACTTCGACGTTTTGAGTCACGATTGGCGATTTCCCCGAGCGGGGGAGGAGGAGAGCTTTAATACTTTTTGTGATAAGAAAAGTAGTCAGGTGATCAATTGTTTTAGAAGGTGTGGGGTTAAAGGTGGTGATAGAATGGCAACAATATGACGAATTTTGCCTGTAAGTGTAAACTATGCACAGATTCCTTGTGAGAATGTTTATATTAAGACATAAAATTCCCACAGACTCTATATTTCGATTTTGTAGGTGAGAAATAAATTAATTTTATAAAATTAACTAAATTTTGAATCTCACAATTACATCAACAGTGAATAAAACAGAAAAACTGTTTTAATGTTTGAGATAGTAACTTCTAAGTTGCAAAGTAAGTAAGTAAATAAATGTCATGCTTTCAACAGCTGCTCCAGAAGACATGAGGTATGTAATGGTATAATTTATGTAGAGATTTCCTTTCCATTCTATAAATATTCTGCAAAGTATATGCCAGCACAGGCTTAACAAAACAGGTTACCCACATGAAATTACAGTTCTTTTTTTGATGACTGAAAATCTATTTATCACATAACAGGATCTAAATATAAAAATATGAAAAACTTTCCAAGCAAAGTATTTTAGCATTTATTATTAACAAAAAATTTTTTTAATAGTATTAACATTTGATTTTGTTTTGTTAAACATGTTTTAGGGATAGTTATATTTGCTCTTTATTTTACCCTATATTAGTCATATGTCTTTGTGGATTTGTTATTAGAGTTATTTAATTCTTGTACCTATAATTCAGAAACTCCATTATACATAGAAAAACATTAGAACACTTTAATGGAGTTAAATGGTTTTCTATACGTTTAAAAAACTTAGGCACTTTCAAACTTCATCTTTGAAAAGGCTTTTAAAATATCCTTAGCAACAGTTTTTTTTTTTTTGGCACTTTCTTGAAGAAAAAGCATTATATTTGAAAGTTGTTTTAATGGTTTTTCCATGTAATTTGAAATTTTTTTTAACTTCATTAAAATATTCTAATATTTACTTTTTTTGTGTCTCTTTTCAATATGCAATATAAATATTTTTGTATTTTACTTTTAATAATTCTAACATTAATGATAATTTGGACAAATGAAGGTACTGATAAAGGCTCAACAGCCTGGAAGCAGTAATACAAGTTAGTTCTGTTCATTTTAAATGCCTGCTTAATAAAAAAAATTAAACATGATGCTTTATTAATGTAGAACACACTGAACATGTTAATTATAATTTTACATCATCCAGATTAATCAAAAAGCATATCTAAAAAGAACAATTTCATATAATACTTGAGGATCAGTACTTTGTAAACTACAAAATATTGAGTTTCAATTCCTAGCAGACTTGCACTGTTTACCAAAAGTCACTTTTGATCACTAATGATTTGCATTTCTACCAAGAAAAGTGACAACAGGTACACATGCACCCACGACAATCTGCCATTTTGAAAACATGCAGCATGCCCATTCTCATTTAAATTTTTCTCTGTTAGAAGTAAGAAGCAATAGTGATCAACTAGAGACCCACTGGTATGCTTCAGTCAAGAGTTATAAACATCTGTTTTGAGGGCCTCCCAGAAGTGTCCACAAGTCCTTCAGGTAGGCCCTTGTCTAATCTACAGTTAACAAAAAGTAAACTTTTTAATACATTTGTACATTTAGTTAAGTTTCATTAAAAATTATTAATAAATACTAAAAATATATTATCTAGCAATCTTTTCTGCACACTTCTTAACATATCAGTAAACATATCAAATAAATTTTTTTTTCTATTAATAATCTGATGATTAAAATTTGACGTTTTAAAATAACTAATCAACTGTATTTTAAAAATTAAATGTATAATTAAATTAAATTAATTAAAAACTAAATTCAATCTTTCCTATATATCGAATTTTAGCTTTGAATATGTTTTAGAACTATTTCCAATTTCAGAATAAAAATAAAAATTAATTAAACCTGGAATTTAAAAGATGACATAAAATCCTAAAAATATTCTACAGGTTAGTCTGTAAGCTAGACAAACAATTTTATCTATAAAAAAAGACTATTTGACATCTATGAGGACAACCTAGCCTCAGAGAAGTCAATTAACTTAATTATTTTACAAACAGCAGCAACAAGTTTAATTTCAATGCACTATCATCATAATATCAAACTCATTTACAGAAGTTCTAGCTTTCTGTGCATAAAGTTTTAAAACACCTTTCACTTTTTTTTCTAGCAACTTCTTTAATTAATTAAATAAGAGAACAAATGCTTTTGGCTATTTTGAATGGCCTTCTGGTTCTAAACATTCGAATGTCAGTTAACATATATTTGAAATTCGTTTTCGTTCTTATGACGTCATTGTTTTTACAAAAACATTTTTTAAAACAATTAATAAATACATACTTGGATTAAAAAAATTATTACAGTTATATGTTAAATTTAACAACTGTAAATATAAATAAAATTACAAGTATACATTATAATTATTTCAGATAGAATTAAATAACTAGATATTTTTTAAAGAAATGTTCATAAATTCATAAAATTGTCATGTCACATGACTTTTTTTNTATATATATAAAAATGAATGTATGTTTGTCTGTCTGTCTTTCATGCATTACTAAACCATTTACCCAATTGCCATGAAACTTTGGGAAGTTGTTTAATACATTCCCGCAAAGGTTTCTGGCATAGTACAATTATCCTACAATAGATGGCACACGTGTATACGAGCATTTCAGCACGGTTAGGAGTTGAAACTTGAAATTTGGTACACAGTTAGGGTACGTCACAAGAACGCACATTAACAAGGGATTTTTTTAAATCCCCTCGCAGGGAAAGGGACAGGATTAAGGCTTCAACAATGGAAGTGTTAAGAGAAAGCAACGTGCAAGATTTACAGGCGCAGATGTAGTTTTTTGCATTAAA